CAAGCACAGAGACACTGATGGTACAGCCGGGTGGAGGAGATCCCATCTGGGGTCTATGTCCCACAGTGGGACCTAAGTTGCAGTCTATTGCAGTGCCTCTTGCAAGAGGTGATCAAGCTCCCACTGTGACATTTTCTTATTTCCCTTCCCTCATTTACAGCAATGCCATGAACAGAAGTACAAGGTAAATTAGATCACCACTAAAGTAAATATATAACTAGCAAATTTAAGAGGGCCGAGGACAGGTCCCTAGAAGCAAAAAAAACTTGAGCACTGCAAAACAACCACCTCAGCTGCTTTTTACAGGCAAAACCTACTATGCCATGCTCAGCGTCAAACAGTTTTCATGTCTTGATTATTCCTTGTGGCTGGCCAGGAAGACCATGTTGCTGCAGCAATACCTGCATGCCAAAGTTTATTTCAAGAGCCTCATAGACATCAATTACAAGATGGACGAAAAGAAGCCTGGCTGTCTTGAACATAGCAGTGGGTATGCACTGTTCCTTATGTTGTCAGCATTTACAGGTATGTAGAAGCCCAAGTACATGCAAAAATCCAGTGTGCTTTGGGTCTAGATTAACAAAATGCTTACATACCTAAATTTGCATGTGGGACTTTCAGAAAAATGTGTATCTAGTTCCTGCTACAATCACCACACTGAACAATTTGAGATGCAAGAATATTTGAAAAAGAAAATAGCATGTAATGAGAAACTGAAGATGCTCTATTGATTTAATTTTTTACAAAGGGATGAGATGATTACAGAGTATAAGTACCATCACTGGGAGGAACTTAAGAGTTCTCAAAAGCTTTTTATTCTAGTAGAAAAAGCATAACAAGAAATCAAAAGCCAGAAACTGAACCTTGACAAATCCAGACTGAAAAATAAATTTTTGACAGTGAAAAGACTTAATCACCTAGCAAAGTGATACCGTCTTCTTCCCTTGACACCTACAGATGAGGTCTGGATGCTTTTCCATATTATGTGTTTCAGCCAGGCCCAAGTTACTAGACTGAGTGGACATAAGGGGGTGAAAGTCTATGGACTACGTTAATCAGGCAGTAAGAATAGATCGTGCAATTGTCCCTTTTAGACAATTTGCCTTAAGAACTATTCAAATAATTTTTAAAAGGCTTGGACAACTTTCTGAAGAGTATCACTTGGTAATTAATCTGAGGAGATTAATGCTACAGCAGCAGTTTGAAAGAAAGGTCTTCCAACCAGGCTGAGCCTTACTGAAGGAGAAAGTCATTGAGACAGGATGTGGGTGAGACACTGGGTTTGGAGTGTAATAGCTGGTTAACAAGCTAGGCAAACCCTCCTGTGTATCGACACCTTAAAACTCTGTAATCATGTTGTCTTGTACAAAAACTGAGAAATAACTACAAAGACTCATGAAGGCAGATGTATTATAGCTGCTCTGTATTAGCTGGTAAAGAGTCTTTTAGACTGAAAGGACTCTTTACACCTTTTTTTGGAAGCTCTAAGTGAAACTGCAACACGATGTGGTTGATGCACTCTAACAGCTGATGCAATTACAGAGGACATTGCAGAGTGAGACTGTGCACAGATACTTTGGGCCTCTAAGGCCGTGGAGCTCTGTGATGGGAACATAACGGCCCACTTGGAAAAGAGGTCAGCTCTTCTAGTTAGCACCAGCAGATGTATGAGTTAATGACTAAATGGGCTGCTGATCAAATTTTGTAGAAGCTTTTCCTGCCTTGCACCAGTGGACTGTCCTGGCATTCTTCAAGCAGAAGTGCTAAAAATGCTTCGGCAGTAAAAACAAGACCAAACAAACCCCTCAAAATGCACAATAAAGTGATCTGAAATGTTTGTGATATCTGCAGAATCTTCCAGAATAAAGTTATATTTCTAATATCAAAACCAGAAATTGCTTTGCCCTCATGTATTTTGTTTCCTTCTAACTTTCTAGGGTGGTTTTCCACACCTTAAGGCAGCAAAAAAAAGCAATCTTTCTTTGCCTCAGTGGTCTTCTACAATGCACGTTAAGCCTTTTGATGGAAGATACTGTATAGTGTACATGCTATTGCAGGGCAGTCCTTAACTTTCAGCCCTCATTCTCTACAGACCTCTTTCCCACCCATTCCCATGGCTGCAGTTGTGAGAGGAGACATGCATCCACTCATGCCAGGTGATGCTTGGAGAAACCAGGTTTGTAGACATACTTTTGGTGCCAAAAGAGTTCTCTGCATTTTTTTTATAAGGGAGATGAACTTGACAAGAAAAGCCTAACCCCACAACTCCCCAGTTCAAACCAGTCTGTTAACTGGGGGAACTTGACTGTCAGGAACCTCTGGTTATTTGACAATAGCCCCCCCTTCCTGCCTAATTGATACTTAGAAAATTGAGTGGCACCTGTCATAGGACCAAGCTGGAGATTTAACGTATCCTCTTTACTTTTGATTACTGTTCTTTTCCTTTTCTTAGATTGGTCCTCGACTACTTAATATTCAGTGCTTGCTACTAGCACTGGAGAGGTACATTTTATTTAAAAAATGTGAGAAGTTTAGTTATGTTAATGAGGAACTTCTTCTAGAAATGACAAACATCAATATGAAAACATCCATGGCATAGCCATACCTGAAATCCGGTTATCCAGTGTTTTTTGAACTTAGATGGAGAGCTTTAAAGAGGAAGAAGAGTATTATAGAGGACTACAGAGGTCATGACGAGAACTGGTGAAATGAGGATATCTTTTGAAATGCATCCTACTGTACTCCCACTTTCCAAATTAGCTTTACAGCAACTGTAATCTATTACCTCTAGATGTACAAGTGACAGATTTTTCAGGTTAAGAGACCATTGTTACTCTGGTGTCCTACATAACAGAGGCTATACATAGTATTTCATGCTGTGATTCTGCACCAAGCCTATGAATTGTGCCAAAGCTTTTGTTTTTCTAAAAAAATCCAGTTTTGATTTAAAGATCATAATTGATAAAGTTAGCATTTATTTTGTCAATTTTATCATTTAGTCTGTATTAATTCATTTAACATCATAGTGTAAAATGAAAACTTTTATTGTTATTTGAGATCTGCAATGCACTCAAAATACCAACGTCATGCTTGTCTGACTATGGATTCTTCATAAAAACATGCTCATTGGTATTTACTATCCAACTGTCCTCCATTGACTGTTTCCTATATTAATGATACCAATGCCAGGCATGTATTTCTAGTATTGACATGATATCCACTTTTGCTTCTGTTTCTCTGGAGCTTCTTCAGTATTCCTAAATTCCTTAAAAATGTACATTAATAGTTCAGACTTCTTGGTCCATTTTAACAAGGAAAAATCTGTTCCTCCCTGGTGACAAAATATTTAATAGCAAAAGGTGGTCTTTAAACTCAGCTTTTGTACCTGTTGGAACGAGAACTAATTCATTTTTCTGTAGCATGTAAGTATTACTGACATATCTTTGCTACTTCCCCCTTTTCTGTGTGCCAGAAGGGTAAATAAACACCTTTCCAGCAAAGCAGATTTAACATTTTTTTCTTTTCCAGTGTGCATACATAAGTAAAATCCTTCTTACTGACTGTGATCCTGTTGACAGTGGAGTTTCTTTGATAAACAATAGTTTGCTTTACTGATTGCCAACAAATTGGTTACATTAGATGAATGGTACTGGCCAGCTAACTTAAAAAATAATAAGGCTCTTACTGATTGGGTACATTCTGTAGCCACTTTGCTAACCTGCCAAGCATGAATATATAAACAAGTTACTGCAAAGTAGACTAAAGTGTAAACTTGCAGCAAATCAACTGCTGTGCAGTAAGCATGCCTGTCCACACTCTCAGACACATTCAGGTATCCATGCCCTCAGGCTTTCAGGATTGCAGACACTCTGCTATTTTGGGCAGATACCTGAAGCCAGAGACAACACAGATGCAAACCTCATGGTGCTCGTGGAGGATGGTTGCCTGGGTCCATCCCTCCTCCTCACCTTCTACCAGCCTTCCTTGCGCCTTGGCACCATCAAACCCAAAGAAAGAATTAGAGGCTTAAAAATCCCCATCACACCACAAAAATACAACTAAAAATAAGTATCATAGGCCTTATTTTCCCCCTCATTTTCTCCTGTCAGGCAGGTTTCACACCAACAGACACTCTGGTGAGAGTGGTACAGCTCCACAGGGCAGGGGGCTGTGAGAAGCTTGGCGCAGGGGGCCTTTCTGCAAATTTAAGGATCTTCACCATGTTTTGGGTTTCACCCTCACCCCGAGATCTTTATTCAAAATGGACGATGAGGCGCTGACCTGAGCACTGCGTGGCAGGGCAAGGTGGGTGGCTGCTGGTGGCACCAGGTCTCCTCAGCCCTCTTGGCCTAGCAGCTCAAATTTGCCAGGTGGTGGGATGAGGGACAGGGTAGCGATGGTGCTAAAAGGAGATTGCCTGTAGGGTAAAGAGTATCCTCCCGATGGAGGGATGGTCCAGGTGGTAATTACTGCTGCTCTCCAGTCTCCTTCAGGGTCTGTTCACAGGTGGTCTCCAGATGGAAGGAGAGAAGGAGCTGTGTGTGCCCATTATCAAGATCTCAGGAGGGGATCTCCCCACTGACGTCTCCAAAGGTGAAGAATACAACAAATTAATTCAGTGCTGCTGTAACGTAAGCCAATAAAGTCACTTCTTTGTCCAGTTTACAGCCAAGTCCAGGTCATTGTTAGTCATCAGGGATTAAGGATGGGAACAATCCTGAAGAAGGGGTGTTGCCCTCTGAGTCCAACCTTAAACTAGGGTTTAGTAAAGGCTCACAGCCTGTAAGTCCCTTTCCTTAGCTTGCTTTCTTGCTGAGAAAAGATGTTGGCTTCTCTTTCGTTAAGATGATGAGGCCAATAGTGGGAATGAAGATGACAGTCCCCTGGCAGATGATCACAAGAACATGAAACAATATGAGACATTACCGGAGGCATTTGAAGACAGTGCTTCCCAGAGATGTAGCAAGGCAGAGGTCTAGGAGAGCCAGCACATGTTAGAAATGTACCAGAGGGACCTCCTTGGGTCGAGACAGGATGACAGCATTCACCTAGAAAAGGCCTTTGAGGGCCTCCACAGCATCCTTCTCCACCCAGAAGATGCTATAGGAGACAATCACTCTGGATATGGTGAGTGTGAGGAAATCATCAGTCAGACATCAAATCTACAGCAGTGTGAGGCACCCCAGACAGAGAAACCCCACAAGTGTCCCAAATGTAACAAGGACTTCAGGTGGTGCTCTGATGTAATTAAACATCAGAGAACCCACACAGGTGAGAAGCTCATCACATGCAGTGAGTGTAGGAAAAACTTCAGAGTGAGCTTCCACCTTATCTCCCATAGAAGGATGCACACAGGAGAAAGGCCCTACCCTTATCTCAAATGTAGGAAAAGCTTCATCTGATGAGGTGGGAAGGGGGTGGCAGGGTAGGGGTAGAAGTGGGAATAAGCTTCCCATCAGAATTTTTTTGTCCTGGGGATTGAAGGAAGGGATGTGGTAACAAGAAATAGGGAGGAAGTTCAGCAAAAGGAGGAATTTGGTACTTAGAAATCTGATTTTTGGGAGCACGGCCCTTGGAGAGATGAAAGATCCCACTGTCTTACTGAGAAGGCAAAAACGACAAAGCAGGTTCCAGCAACAGGAGCCTGCATTTGGGAAATGAGTCACTTACTGAACTGCGGAAGAAAAGCTGTCCTTTATTCTCTCTGGCAGCATCTGCAGGTATTTTAGGAACTCTGTTAAACCTGGGCAAAGATGTCCCAGTTTTCTGGTACGTGTTGTAATATTCCAGCTCTTTGATGCGTTAAATGCCTTCCCCTATTAAATAGCAGCTCTGCTTCTGTTGTTCTCCCCCTTCCTTTCCTGCTCTGTTTCCGTGTGTCTGGGTTGTCCTTTCTACTACATCAGTGATGGAGCAGCCATGGCTGCGCCATCATCGGTCTCGCTGGACATGAGGGTGAAATCTCACTAGCCTAGAAAAATAATGGGTGTTACTGTTTGTTAAACACCTTTCTGCTTTTCTGAGCAGGGTTTGATAACCGCCTTCAGCCGTATTTTGTCTTATACATCCTGAGAGCCTTATTCAACCCTGGAGGCAACCAAGATAGCCGTGTATATGTAAATATATGGAGCTGATTTGTAATTTTACTAGAAGCACTCAGAGGGCTGTGAATTTTATGTACTTGGGAGCCAGCTCAGAGCTTTCTGCCTAGGAACAGAGTGCAGGCGGGCAACTGGAAGGGAGTGGAGTATGAATGGTGGTGACTGGAGGGAAACAGACTGTAAATGGAGAGGCCCAGAGGGGAATGGAGGTGGAAATAGAACTGGAGGGGAACAGAGTATGTACAGAGGGGAATGGAAAGGAACCATCTGGTGAGAAAAAAGCCAGCAATGCAGGAGGCTGGAGGGGAAAAGAACGTGAATGGTGAGGCTCGAGGGGAAGAAGGCATGAACAGAGGGGCTGTAGCTAAACAGATTTCCATCAGAGAGGTCTAGACAGAATGAGAACGTGAAGACCCAGGCCCACTCCCTTTCCTGTGCATCATGTCTCTAACCACAAGAGGCCTCGGCTGTCCCCTGCCAGTTTTGCAGATCCTTGTACCTAACCTTCCACAGAAGTTCACTAGCTGCAAACTCCTCAGTTCTCTTCCGAGATCTCAGCTGTGCCCTGCTCTGCCTGCCCTCTAGACATCTGGCTTTTGCTCTCTCCATTGGCCAGCCTGCGGCCCCAGAGCCCGTGGTGACTGGGGTAACAAAGCTTTTTGAGATGGATCACACCAAGACACCTCTCTCCCTGGCTGCTGCCTCCCTCCTCACCTCTGTTCAGAGGGTGGGGAGATCCTGGACACCTGCGTTCCTGAAGCCCAAGGAGAGCAGTAGGGTATAGAGGTTGGAGCAGGGGTGCAAGACCCTGGAGGTTTGAATTCTGGTGGTGTTAGGGCTGGGAGGCAAAGGAGCTCAG